CAATCAATCCTTTACATTTCTGAGTCAACTTTTACATTAATTTATTGCTCACTAAGGAGTGCTGCAGGCAGGATTCCATATAAAAGTCCTGACATTGACAGTTGTGGATTCACAAAGTGGGTATCTGGTTCAAAATTGTCTTCCAGTTCCACTTGAACTCAATAGGATTTTGATAAAATCCATGCTAAACTGAGTGGACAAAAAGATGGCAGATGGGTTTCAGTGTAAATAAACATATTGCCTAGGGACATTAGCGATGCGTAATTTAATCCATATATTATGCAATGCCAAAAATTAGAACTGTCACTTAAAACTCAAGAACTGCTCTGAAGTCATTAGTAGCAGCCCCAAAGCCAACAAAACACTGCCCATCATCAGAAAAGATACAAAGAACAAAACAGGAAACTCATTTTTGCAGTTGATTTTGCTCTGTATAAGAGCCTGACATGCTCAGTCTCTCTTGAAGGACATGAGATCTCAGAGAGGGACAGCAGAAATGTGAATAAGATGAAGGAGCTGCCTCATAAGGAAAAACGGGACAGGTTGAGACTTCTACATCTGTACAGAGTAGTCTGAGGAGGATATGATAGAGGTTACAGGATCACCAGATTCCATCATACCTGGGCTAAGAGGCACTCACAGAAACTGCCGGGGGACTGATTCAGTGACTCCATCTGCAATGGACTGCAGATAGTGGCTGGGCTTGCGTGGTCTCCCTGTATTGCACCTTCTGCTACCACTGTGGGAATCAGAGTCTTGGGCTAGAGGGACCACTGGTCTGAACAAGCTTGGTATTACGTTGTTAATATAGTTGTGACAAGATACGTGTTTTGTAAGGGCAGTTATATGTTTGTATGCATCTTAATATAAACTTGCCCATTCAGAAATTGACGTTACTATTTCCATTTCTTTTGCTTTGAATGTACTTTAAAATCCTTTAAACTTTTCTGCTGATTTATAGATTGGATTTTTTCTTTAGTTTCCTTTGCAAATTTTCTGGCCTTTCTTATTTCTAGTCAGTATGGATTGATAATAGTTTCTTCTTATTTTTCCCCTGTTTGTTATGCAAAACTTTTAAAATTTCACTTTGCCATTAAGATACCTGTCTAACATGAGTGGGATGGATCAGAGCTGAGAAGTGTTTCTTTCTCCGTTGCCTACCAAGGGAGATTAGATAAAGATCTAAGACTAAAAACCTAACTTTCAGGTGGCTCATGCTGGGTGAAATTAATTTGCCTCAACTACAAAAAATGCTACCTGGGATTATCCACTGTTTGTTCATACAAGATGTAACTGTGTTGTAAACCCTGTTCCTTAACCAATCACCAACATTCAGTGGTGAGGATAATTCAGATTATTTAGGGTAAAGCAGTACCATAGTCTACTGGTGTATTCCGAATTTTCCGATTTCCAGTTGCCAATAGTTTAAAAAAGTGTCCTGAATGTAGATTATTACCACGCCATAATATCATTATATCCTTTAAAAATACTGTTCTCATTCAAGTCAGGCTAGATATTTGCATTGGGGATACTGATTGCTGCAAAACTAAGGAGGTACACTGTGGGAAGACAGTGTAATCTTGGTCAATATCTTGCATTCTTTTTCTAAGTATCCTCTGCAGATTGCTGTCAAAGATGGCATTAGTGTCAAGAGGCCTTTGGTCTGGCTTGGTACACTTCTCTCATTGTTAGGTAGGTGTCTGTGATGTCTACTATGTCAAACCATGAAGAATTTCTAACTGATTTGTTTTCAAGTCCTCAAGTTTGGGAAGTAAACTACTGCTCTCTTCCCTTTGACATCATTCAATTCATCTGTGGCATGGTGAATTTGTGTTTCTGCTGGATTTGTCTTTGTGACACTTTTGTGTTTTTTTAAGCAGTTTTATACCTTCTTGTCTGTTCCAATTAATCCTGTCTGAAGAGGTTCCTGTATGAAGCCCCCATTTATACTGTTGTACAGAGCCAAAGCCCTAATTTTTTCACTGGTTGTGCAGCCCACCGTTCATCTCCAGTATTTTATTTCTTCTCTTGTTTGTGGGCCTGAAAAGGCCACCAAGAAGATAATTTAGAATTTGCCTCTCTTCAGTTCCTTCCAAAATCCTTTAAGACTTCTGTAATTGGTTCCAGTGTATACCACCTTCATCTTAGAAATGATAGATGTCTTGCTTCATATTCTCCATTCAAACTTTCTGTTAGATTTCCTGCTTTTGGTCTATGGAGACTTAATTTCTTTTATTGTCCTCATTTCTTTCCGGCTCTCACTTCCTGATTTCATTAAGACTCTTTAGACTGCATTTTTGGCAATCATAAGGATACTAAAAAGGACTTTACAAAAGGTATTAAAACTTTTGAAACCCTCAAGGCAGAGATGGGTCTCTCTTGAAACCTTGTGATTTATTCTGCAGAAGCAGCAGAATAAGCAAGCCCCTGGAGTAGAAGCAGAGGTTAGTCACTGTAAGAGAAAACCAAATCCAAACAGTTCTTTTAATGAGCACAGGAGACTTAATGTATGTCTTCATTGTCTGAGATAACACAGTTACTTCTTAGCAGACCACGTAGCTTTTACTGGCTCTTACTGAGGAGTAATTCTTTTTCTGGGCAGGATTGATGAGAAAGGAAGTGAAGTCATTTTGTATTTTATTTATGTATTAGGTCTTTGTGTGTATTTAATTTCAGGTGTAGCAGCCTGAAAAGAGAAAGCATTCAAGCATCTGACAATCTGTTATGGTAAACCCAATTCACAGTTATCCAAAGTAAGAAAGGTCACTTTCAGAACAAATTGATAAACTCATTACAAGCTGATACTTTAGAGATTTTCAAGTAAATATCCTCTCAATATACTATCCATATTGAATAAATATCCAATGGTAGCATCAGTACCTATATGACCTGCACAGCCCAACAGATTGCATCTTTAAGGCAAGCCATGAATCTATTCTGGAAGTGAATCTATATTCCAGAAGGTAGATCTTCAGCTAGCCGAGAGGATTACTTCCATTCTTCCAGTAGGAATATATAGCATAAGAGAAAAATATTTTTGATAAAATTTTGGTAAGATTTCCTAATTTAGTCCATGTCCAATAGTGACTGAATTTGATTCTTGTTGGAAACAAAGGAAAATTATTGATTGTAGGACTTGCCAGTAATTAATTAGACCAACAAGCCATACACATTCGGCTTCTCTCAGCTCAGAGGAAATTATTTCCTCCTGACTCATACCATCAAGTGACAGTTGCTTGAGACTTCATGGAGTAATACAGAGGACATTTATTAGCCCAGTGGTGGTCAGTTTATATTCTAAGATTTGTTGCTTGTTACACTTTTAAGCTAAAGGTAATGATGAAATGGGTCATAAAATTATCCAGCTTTTAAAAACATATATAGGAAATAGGTGACTGTCTGTCCAGTTACAGGAACAAGAGTGCAACAGATCTTCAGTTGTCCTAGATCCACAATGGAGTCTGATCTATGAAAATTTACACAGTTGCTGGATCCCTGTGGTAGATTTTCCTCCTAACTTGTCTCATTGATTCCTTGGTCCTGTGTAGCCAAAGAGTGCATAACAGATGTTGCTTTGAGCAAAGAAACAGTCTTTTCAACAATCATTGAAAAAATAGCATCAGTACTTTCAAAAGCACTCTCGGCCTTGGATTTCTGCAGGATGAGAGCCTCAGAAGGCATTTGGCTTCTCATCCCTGTAGTGCCTCCATACCCGCTCTCCATTAATACTGTGTGCTGCAGTGGGAAACCTATCTCATATGACACAGCCATACAGCTAGTAGATGAGCTCTGTAGACATGGGGTTGAATAAGACTTTGCTATTACGGGCTAAAGTTCTTCTTTCATATTCACACCATTAAGATAATTATTTTTCATCATGTTTGAGAAGTGCCATCCAGCAAAAACGTATGATGTAACAGACATGTTTTATCTGTTTTATTCTTCGAGCTCTGGAGGAGCTCAGATAATGACATCAATGTGGCACGCATTTTATTAGTAACAGTGCTTCAGCTTGGTTTGTGGAGACAGCGATAGCAAAGAAACTGCTTGTTCCAGCACAAATTCTGTTTCTCCTGAAGCCATTCTAATATTCACTTTACATCACACAGGAAAGTAGAAAAGAGGTCAAAGTCAGACAAAGTAAGTGAACCGAGCTGTCTTACATTAGATTTCTGGGTTTGCCTCACGGACACAGATAGGTGACAGTGGCTGATTCAGGCAGATTTGTTGACAATTTCAGTTGCTCTTATTAGGCGAAGAGTTGTCTTTTATTTGTAAAAACACACTTGAGGAAAATTATTTTTTAGCAGTTCCTTTGCTACAACTGCACTTTGAAATATTCTGTAAAGCTCTTTAAAATTAGTGACATTCAACATTGCTGGTTTGAGTCAGACTTTGTATGAACATGTGCATGTATGTGTGTTTATATGTCTATGTAAGATTTTCATTAATTTTAATTTTTCACTAATGTAATCTTCAAGTGCAAGAGCAAAGAATGAGAATCTGATGGCTTCCATAGTGTTTATATTGTATAAACAAGACATTAAGCCCAAATTCAGCTCTCAGTTACAGTGGAACTACGGTATTAGATGAAACTGTCAGTTTTGCTTGGATCCTTTAGGTCTTCTGAACTCTGTGTTAGTTTTAATCCACTTATCCATGTTTGAATGCAACCCCCCCCTTAGTTTTCAACATAATTCTGGCATGAGCATCTGAGAGAAGTTTGCAAAAGCTTTTCCAGTGGCTCTCAACCAAGATCCATTTTCATTTACACCCGCATGCCTTGTTAATGTCAATTGCATCGCAAATATTAAATCACTGTCTAGGTGGTTATACGTAAGTTCTTCACAAAGACTGGGCTGGACCTCTGAAGTTCAATGAATATTGGGTATATAGTGTGATTTTGCTCATTGTAAAAAGTGATATTGCAAGCATGCTAGAATCTGAATGAATCAGACTACATGGCTACCTTGTGTCTTTCATCTTTCTGTTATGTATAGGAGAAATGGGGGACAAAGGACAGAAAGGCAGCATGGGACGGCATGGAAAAATTGGTCCTATTGGTTCAAAAGGTATGCTTAGTTCAATTGTTTCTCTATTTGTGTTTCAGATGAAAAATCTGTGACCATTTATGTTTGAGAAAAGTTCAAGGGCTTGAAAAATGGTTAACGAGTCTCAGAGCTTCTCACACTGTAGTCAACCAGATGACTGAGGTCTCTCAGCCAGTTACCTTTCTCTCTGGCAGAGGTATATTTATCCTTAAAGAAGGTCAAGAACCCTGGTTTAAGGCTGAATGAAGAACTTCGTGCACCATCACACAAGTGTGGACAGCTAAGAGAAGCAGATGGGAAGATGCACTATATTTTGGCAGACTTTTAAGAGCCAGAATCTTGCCTACTCCATAGGCTTCCTATATAACTTTGGTTAAGTCATTTGGACCAATGTTTACTTAAGCATCTAGATTATGAATCTGTGCAGCAGCATAGCATATCCAGCCCTTTTCAATCTGAATTTATTGGTTCTGTGAAGTTCATGAGTGTCAAAAAATGGGTATCGGTACATATCATTTGTGTTCAAGTTTCATAGCTTTAACTGGCCTTTGTTGTGGAACAACTAGAACAGAAAAATATTTTTGCTTGGGCATATTTCTACTTCCCACATTTGAATGTTACTAGAGAAAAAAATAAACAAGTGCTAAAAGAACTGTTGACCAAAAAAGCTGCCTTAAATTTATTTTATTTTTCATGTCTTTAGGTGAAAAAGGAGATAATGGTGACATAGGACCACCAGGTCCTAATGGTGACCCAGGTAACCCATAACAGCTCTTGTGTATGTGGAGGATTTTACAAGATGCATGCGTCATCACCAAAGATACATGTCTGTTTACATATTGGGAGAAATAATGGAAGATTAAATATTTGTATAGGCACTGTAATATTTCACTGTAATATTTTAAAATTATTTAAAATTATGAAGCTGCAGTAGTTGCTGGACTTGTGTATTTGTTGAAACAATGTCTCAGAGCTCCCCAGAGGTGTGATCACTCTGGAGGATTAGAGTGAACTGAAGTGCAATTTTCTGTCATTCATCACCAGTGCAAAGGGACATCTATGCATATCCCACTCTGGCTTCCAGTCAACACAAAGGAATAGGTTGGAAGCTCCTGCTGCTCCATGGATTATTGCTAGAGGAGCAGTAGATTACCAGGAATAGAGATCTTTCAGAGAAAAAGGTGAAAGCCTGGCATAAGAAGTGTAAACCTTACAGAAGTGGCAGATTAGGATTTTACCCAGTTTGTCCCTCCCTGGCAGAGTACACTAGATGTGCACCAGTTAGTTTTCTCACAAGAACATAATTTGTCACTCTAGTTTTTGAGCTAGAGTACCATATACATAGTCATCAAGCACGGTTTTCCAGTGTAAATACCCTGTGCTTAGACTGATTTAGACACCTAAACTGAGTAATTGGGTAGTCAAATGCAGATTTGAATAATTACACACAGAACTGGAAACTCTAATTGAACCTTGTTTTGAGATTTCAGCTCATAGATGTAACAATTATCCTTTTAGTATTCTCATTCAGATGATCTTTGTCAAACCAATATCAATTTGGGTTAATAGATGGTATTTTATTGTCCTATTTTATTGGAAGAAGTACTGTAAATTCTGTACTTTCAAAGGTACAGAACTATATTTTGCAGGTAATTATGTTTATCAGATTGTTGGAACATTAGCCTTTTGGATCTCCTGTATTATGTTCCTTGTGAGGAACAGGTAAACAGTGCGCTGTGCAGATTTTTGCTGTGGAAAAAATGGTCTTTGGAGAAGACTAAAGAGAATGATTTTACTCAAAATTGGAAATTTTGTCAAACGTTTTGATTTAAAAAGAAAAATCTGTTTTGTTTATTTTTTTCAGAGAATATCTGTGTTTATGTTAACACTAGTCATGCAGGGCTGAAGCTTCATGGGAAGTGAACTGAGCTGTTCTGGGTAAGCCCAGACACACATGAGAACCGTATGATGGTCCAGGGTAGTGAAGGCTCTAGGCTTCTGTCTGTTATTTGCAAGATGGCCCTCTCCAGGGCTTCCAGGCTGGGTGTTTTCATAAAATTGTTTAGATAATTATTGAAATGATAGAAATTAAATAGCTTTTTGATTTTGTTGTGTCTGTTTCATTTCACAGGCATCCCCTGTGAGTGCAGCCAGCTAAGGAAAGCTATTGGTGAAATGGATATCCAAGTGGCCCAGCTGACAACAGAACTAAAATTCATAAAAAATGGTAGGTTAATTTTATATAAATATTTTCCTTTCTTGTTGCCTCATTTTACCGGTGTAATTGCTCGTAGAGAGCTTCACCGTTCCGCATCTGATTTGTGAAGCTATTTTGGGGTGTACAGTAACTTGGTTTATAGAAATGCGAGTGCTCACTTTTCAGCACTGCCCTCCCCCGCAGCTGTTGCTGGTGTGCGTGAGACAGATAATAAGATATATCTGCTGGTGAAGGAAGAGAAACGATACAAGGAGGCCCAGCTATATTGCCATGGAAGAGGAGGGACTCTGAGCATGCCCAAGGATGAGACTGCCAACAATCTGATCGCCTCGTACATCAACCAAGCTGGGCTCACCAGAGTTTTCATTGGGATTAACGACCTAGAGAAAGAGGGAAATTTTGTCTACTCTGACCGATCACCCATGCAGACCTTCAACAAATGGCGCAGTGGGGAGCCCAACAATGCTTATGATGAGGAGGACTGTGTGGAGATGGTGGCATCTGGAGGGTGGAATGATGTTGCGTGTCATATTACCATGTATTTTGTGTGTGAATTTGACAAAGAAAATGTCTAAGGTTGTCTGCTTTTTTTTTTTTTTTATTTTAAGAAAAGTTTTTAAGCCAATTGTACAAGTTACTCCATGTTTATAGAGTACAAGTGATATTTTGCAAGTATGTGGCATCAGTGTTGTACAGCTGTAAATACAATTTAGGTATTTCAAATATCAGTATTTACCCTTCAGAAGGGAAGAGCAGTGATAAGACATAGATTGTTTTTTCTATAGGAAGATATATGTATCTAGATAAAAATTGTGGTTTGGGGCTAAATTCTGCCCTTACTACAGTTAACGAACATGATTGCATGACTGTATGGGAAGGCAGGATTTGGTCTCTAGTTGTTAGAATGATTATTTCTGAAGAAGTAGATTCCTGATATTCTTCTATTTTAGCAAAACTTGTAGTTATAAATGTTAATTGCTTGTAGTGCTAAAGGGATATTTCATCAACAAGGCAAATATTTTGTATACTCCAGTTGATAAGTACAAATATTACTGTAAGTTTTTTGGATGTAAAGGTCTAGCAACTTAAAAAAAAAAAACCAAACAAAACAAAAACAGCCAAAGAAAACCAAGAAATCAGGTGTCCAACCAATTTTATAATGTTTTTTTCTTAAACTATTCACAGGTTTGTGGTAGGATGCACTTAAGAAAACTGACTGTTAGAGCTGGGGGAGGACAAAGTTTTTATAAATTAGCACTGAAAAAGGGATCCCAGCCAGATGGCTGGTTTTGGGGTTACCTAAAGGTAAAAATAAGATTTTGGTATTCTAAATTCTTTAATTGAGAATTATTTAGTGCACAAACTATTTCAGGCCCCCCAAAAATTCTTAAAGTAAATGCATTTCCCATTTGTATAGTATGATCTTGGTGCATCTTGTTACAAACTAAACAAAATACCAGCCCTCCACAATTTAAGTCAGACTTCATAAATAGACAATGAATCTCATAAAAATGGTGTAGCTAGTAGATCCTTTTGGTAGGAAAAGAGCTTACATGTTTCCTCAGGTCGTAAGCATGACACCCTGAAAAGCAGCAAAAGTTTCAAAAATTTTCCTGATTATGTATATAGCAGTAATAAAAAATTTTTAACAAATAATTTATGTACCCAACTTGGAATTGCATGTGATGGAAAATGTGATGTATATTTAGAAAAACCCCAACAATATAATTTCACAAAGGAAATGATGAATTACCTTGGATTTTCCTAGGAGCCTGTTGCGTGACATCTTATCTTGCTTCTAGGCATGAAAAGATGACTGCGAAATCTCTGACTGTGTTTTTTCAGGAATACCTTGTGCATTGTTTTAAGATGATTTTTTAGGAGAAATGATCCTTTGTATAACATAGTAATCAAACTACATATCTGATCATTATGGGAGATTGGTCTACAGGATATCCAGAGTGGATGTGGCATGCAGTCCCGGAGATTTCCCTACAGCAAGGAGAGACTAACTCATATCAACTCTACAGTGCTGTAGTATATAAACAATCAATGATCATACAATTCTGTTCATATTCACAGAGTCTGACAATATTTGATGCAATGCTATTATTATATGCCTAAGAAAACAAACCGTTTTACTTGCTATATTCACTCTGTGAATTTGAATCCATTATATATATATATGTTTCCTATTAATTTTGAAGATCAGTTGCAAATTCCTATAGTATCTGAATATCAGCCCAGTTCCAGAGCAGTCACTCTAAGAAATGAATGGTCTTTTGATTGCTTTACTTTCTTTCTAATAAAGGTAGGTATGATTCCTATATGTTAGGCATTCTTCCAGCTGTATACTGAAATCTATTAAATAATGTAAATATGATTCTACACTAATATTCAAAAACTCTTTACAGAATTTGCAGGGAGCTAACAGTGACAGTGGAACAATTTGTTTGTTTAGAATAGCGCCTTTTGAATATCATGATTGTTTCCTGCCTACTATAGAAATCCTCAGAAACCATTTAAATCTCCAACATACTTTTGTCAGCTCACTGTAGCTGTATTAAACCAGTCCAAAACCAAACCAGTTACAGATATCTGGAGCTCTCTCATTATGTATGTGCTGAAGTTGCTAACCATTTATTTTTCACACAGGTTTTGAAAGTCTCTGTTGTAATGTTTGATTTCCTCAGAAACATGAAAAGAGACCTTTTGAGGGGGTGGGAAGCTTTTTCAGATGCCAAATGCTCCTATTTTAGCTGGCAGTCACACCACGTTTATAATGATTGACTTGATGTATAAAGCATTTAAGCAGTCTCAATTTCTATTAAAATTTAAGATAAAAAATAAAGACAATAGAAAAAACGTTTAGTTCCCCCAGTTTTTGTGTTCTTCAGGATATATTTTTTTCAGCTCTTGATATACGAGATAGAAAGGAAATCAGTTTTATTGTCAGAGCCCTGTACATTGGCTGCAACAGTCCTTATTTCACCATTTGGGCAAGGGGATCAAGGCTAGTGTGCAGGGTGTCTAGCTGTCCAGCAAGGAGCAAAGACTGCATATCTGATATTTACCCCTGTGAGGAACTGGGCAAGAAATGATGGTGGGCTTGGATATGAATGAGCCCTTCATCATTTCATTCACCCTTCAGTTGCTGACCCCCTTACACAGAGCCTTGCTGGAACCAGAGATCAGTGTTGCATGTAGCACTCAGCCTGCATGAAGCCTGCTGACATGCATGGTAAGATTTCCATTACCCTCAGTGGAATTTGAAGCTATTCTTTTAGGAAAAAAATCAAATGAGCATTATCATTACTTGTCTGGTGTCTTTACAGGAGCCTTTGGAACATATCTCTCTGGCAAGCATACACTGAGGTTTCCCAGATTATTCTTATATGCTTTACTTTTGATCGATTATTTTTCCTCATAAATATTTCCCCATAGCCCTTATTTATTAAGGGGCATGTTGGTGCACTTTAAGAAGGCAAAAGTAACAGTTTGGGGTTCGTTTTTTGTTTGTTTGTTTGGTTGGCTGGCTGTTTTTTTTATATAGTCACCCATTCATGCTCTGGAATGACTCCTTTACATAAAATGCATATTTCGTGCAACTACATTCCACACCTTTAGCTGCTAAGGCTGGTTGGCTGTATTCCTGATGTCAGGGCCAGACATGCATCCCCCTTCTAGGAGATGACTTGGCAAAGGTAAAGCATTTAGCTGGCTGAGTCCACGGGGAGCTGCACTGATGGTGAAAGCTGTGCGTTGCTGCGGATGTCCCGGGAGAGCACTGTACCGTGTCTGACCCTGACCGCCACCTGGATTTCCTGCTCCTCATCCTGGCTCGTTGGTGGAAGGTACTGCTCCCACCTTCCTTATTTTCTTACTTGGCTCCTGGTTCTCCATCCGTCAGGGACCAGCTGGTCCTCGCTGTGGCCTGACAGCTGGCATGATTATCCCTGAAGATACAGTTTTGCGACAGGCTGCAGGTTAGCACATAACTTCTCCCTGGCTGTGAGTTTTAAACTGTCTTATGTCACAGAGAAGAACTGTAAAAAATTAATATTTATACATGGGATATAGAGCATCCTTATTCATAAAAGTAAAATGGAGTGCTTCATTTTTCATAAGCTCAGGAAATGCCAGTTCAAATATGAATTACAAAATAACAGTTGGCTGGACATTTTTTTGATGTAAAGTAAAATAAGATGAAATTAAAACAATTTTTATTGTAAAATATGATGAAGGTTCAGAATGGACAAGGAAGTTTAGAAGTAGACATTGTTCGAGATGTTTCATTCTGCATTTTTTTCTGAATTTAATTTCTGAGTTCTGAAGCTTCATTTTAACCCATAAAAGGATTTGATTTTTATATTATTGTTAATATGTTTTACACCATGTCAGAACCAGTGTTTAGTATAATGCTTGAAATATTTTACTTTATTCTTTATGTCTTAATTTCCGATGGGAACACATTATATTTTTGAGAGTTCTGTTTGCCATAATGAAAGAGTTTGACATTTGGTTTCTTCTTCTGGGACTGCCTTGATACTGTAAACACTCTGAATACAAAGCAACAGGTAGTTCAAAAAACGTTAAGTAGAAGATATTCTTACTGATTATGAAAATGATTAATTTAAGTATTATGCCATATAACTAGCAGTTTATGCACTATTACAAGTGTCCAATCATTAAATAAGATAAAACAAATACAAGCATTTTTAAACATGAAAATCTTACAAATATACTTTCATCCTGAATTAAAACAAAAAGATGTCAATGTAACAACATTTCCAGTAAAGCAGAAATTCAAGGTTTCCCCTATGTCTAGATCCAGATCTCATTTTTATGAGAAACTCAAGTGACTTGTGATAGTGGTGGTTGAATCAAATCCTAGAGTAGAAAATTAGCCTACAATGCAAACACTGTTTATATATACGACTCTACCCCTTGCATTTTCTTGACTGCTTCCTCTTAGCCTTTGTTTTCAAGCAATCTGCTCACTTAGCTCTGCATATAAATGTCTGCATGAGATTGTCCCAAGGGTCAATCTCTTTTTACTGGAGATTCTGGTTTTTGATTTTTGCCTTGCGCTGTGGTGCCAACAGGTCCACATCAATCAACCTGGATGCCACAGATTATGGACCAAGAGATGGGTTTTTTGTCCACTGGCAGGGCTGGAAATGTTCCATGAAATCAAAGTATGTCCCTGAAACTGCCTGTGACATGAGAGGTGTTATGCAGGACTGGAGCCAGCCACTCACCCATTCCCTGGGGTGCATATTCCTGGTTGGGGAAAGGCAGTCCAGTCTACTGAGAGGACAACTGACCTTGTTATGGTGGGTAAAAAGAAACCAGAGTTTTAAGATTTACTTAGGGAAAAAAATGTGCCGTGTAGGGTTTTGACTATTTATGTTAGAGTAGCTGAGAGAAAGAAGAGTTTGTTTTTAATTTTGCTGTGTTAGGAGAGTTCAAACTACGTGAATTGGGAGAGAAGGGGTTTGTGGAGAGAATGATAGCTGTGTGCTCAGGGTATTTTTCTGGATGTGTGTCTCCTCCAAGCTGGGAGCTTTTCAATTGGATGAGGAGGGGAGTCCTCTCAAGGGGGAGATCATGAAATGGAAAAAGTGGGAGAAGCAGCGAGTGGATGTGCAGAACCAGCAGTGAGTGTGATGCCCGTGAGGCGGAATGTAAATGTTAACTCCAGCCATTCTCCTGCTTCCTGCTGGGGAGATGTAATTATCTTGCCCTTTCCATCAAAACATCTCACTATAGCTCAGGATGGGTAGCTACAAAAATAGAGAGGGGTGACCAAATTAGTGTAATGTCTGTGTCTAAATAAAGCCCACTTTGGGTTTATGGACAAATAATAGTATCCACTACTCTTTGGGTATATTAATGTATTAAATCGCTGGGGATATAATTAAGCACTGCTATTCAAAGACTAGCTATGTAGTATTGATGAGTTTCTGTATATTCTTTACATATAAAAGCGTGAACACTGCCAAGAATTCAGCAACAGAAGGTCTAGTCTGCAGCTGAATGATACATATGTTACCATACTATCATCTACTGGCAGTAAGAGGCAAAATGAAGGAGCTGAGCAGTAGTTTGCTTCTGCTTGCATCAGATTTATCATGTTATTAAGTGCAACCATTGATGTGGTATTGAATAACTGATTTCCCAGATCTGAAGTCTTTAGTCAGCTTTCTTCTCTTCTTTGTGAAAAGATTATTTTGATTTATAACAAAAGGACATGCACTGATTTTAAGTCCAACGGTCGGGTGGGAGTTTTGACTAAGAAGTGAGAAGTGTGCCTAAATGGGTTCAATTATCATGCCTTGGAGTTAAGAAAAAGAAAACAAGTCAAGCTGTGCTCTGCAGGCCAGCATCTAAATTGCAGGTGCAGATCTTCATCTGGCATCAATCAACTTCAGTGAAGCCAAATTGATTTATACCTGCTGAGGATTTGGCAGAGTATCTTCATAAATTCTAGATTTATGCTTATTTCAGAATGAAAGAGACAGAGGGGCATTTTGATGTTTATAATTTATTCTGACCACTGCTATACAAAGTCTGAGCCAGTGTAATGGATACATTTCTCATGCAAATTTCTGGGCTATAATCAGTTGTGACACAAATATTCAACGTAAAATAGTTGAAGTAGATGTATGTTGTGAAACTTTACCCTGAAAGGGATAGATGCAGAACACAAAAAAGCGGTAAAAGCATTCAACAGAAAGCATAAGTCCTCTATCATTTTATATTCTATGAAAATTAAACCTTTGCTTTTTGCCATACTCAACATTGACTCGTAGGAGGAGACAGGTGCCATCTAGTGAAGAAAAGATTTGTTGCATTTCTTAAGAGCCACAAATCCAACTTTGTTTCTGCTTCATTCTTTAGTATGGTAGGAATGATAAGGACAGACAAACGTTCTGCAAGACGGAAACTGAGCAATATGTTCAGTTCACTGTATTTGTAGCACACACTGAAATAAAAGAAGGTATAAAAATGCCGAATACTAACTTCCTTTTTACAAAGTGCCATGCAAGCATATATATCAGCTTGTTTTATTTAAGCCCATTCACTGCTTTTTCTCCAGCATCACTTCTCTTCCCCTCTAGATTAAAAAATATAATATAGTAACTTTTGACTTATTTAGGTAAAGTGCAATATCTCTTCTAAATATCCCCAGCTGGATTAGCAGAAAAGTTTATAGTTGACCTTGATGTAGGCAATTCCTTTTTTGTGCTGATTTTTGGCTATATCTCACCATTCAGAAGCTTCTGAAAGTAGAAGAAAAATTCTGGATCCCTTATATTTGCACTGCAAAAGCATAAATGTATTACAGCTGATGTGTTGACACCATGCCTAACACTTAGGGATAACATCTCTTTTTAAAAAATACACTTTAAGTCCACTGTCCTGGTCTTCATAGCATCTTCAGTTTTCTTCTTAAAGATTTTCTTCCTTTTGCATCTCATCATACCCACAGGGGAATTTAATGAAATACTTGTATTATATATTCCATACTGTATTATCTTGGAAATTGATTTGCCTGTATGGTTGTTTTGAATC